ACTCAGGCTCTTACGCCATAAAGTTGTTGCAAGGTTTTGTCTTAAATGGAGGAACCAAGGATGCTGCGTCACAACTGTATACCAGATGATTTTCCAAAGCCATGCCACTTGCTGCTGGCACATACAATGACGTTGCCATGATCTGACTGGCTCGCCCGAAGCAGCCTCTGACGCCTCACCGCATTCGAAAAGCCTCCCTAACGCACTTCCTGCATCCACCAATCAGCATCGCAAACACAAATGCCACGCAGACGTCGCGAATGCATGTATTGTCATTCTCATGTTGTTCCGACAAGCATGTAGATGCAGCTGACAGCAGGTAGTGTTGCTAATCAGCATAAATACATAAAAAACCAGGAACACCATTTTCACCGCAACTGCACTTTCCCAAAAGGCTAGTCGCGTCATTTCAAATCATGCCTTAATGCAAGTTAGGGTTTCTAGGCATCTGGCTGCCCGTGAAATCTGCAAAACGTGTCTTGTCAGATTTCGCATCCTGGCCAACGGAATTGTCAGGAGCTTGGTAGGATCGGCAGAAGCCATGGATAGATGCAGATGCCAATCTGCTTCTCCTCGCTGGCTCATGGAACTGCTGTGGCTCTGCTTATAGCGTCAGACGCCAATAAAGGAAAAGGAGTGGAATCCAAATAATTCTATATTGAATGTTCCACTTCATTTCATGTGTGGGTGGACCGAAGTGTATAGACCATCTCCTCTATGTATCCACAAGACCTCATTCGCCCTCAACGAATATTGGTTTGTGCAGGTACCATAAACTTTGTCTCCAGCAACAATAATCTCAAACAATGGAGAGCTTATAAGGAATATGATCCAGTAGTTTTGGTGCACCAAATTTCAACTCTTTTTCTGTCAAATAGTAGATTAGGCAATGAGGGGCTCGATTCTGAAAAACTGCGTATTTAATGCATCAGCTTCTGGATAAAGTAGACTTGGAAAAGCATATCGAGTTCTTCATACAGGACCGGCTAGACAATCTCTAAATGCGGATCACACGGACAAGCTCTCCATCTCAGTTCACATTTCATTTTCTACCCCTGCTGAGCGTGCTAAAGACTAAAGTTCGACAGGAGACCAGGTCCCGCAAATTCAACCAAGCCTGTTATCGTGGCTGGCTACGGTTTTGCTAGGGAGCAGAAAGGGACAAAGATAATTGCGTCAATTCATTCGTGTACGCAACTAATTTGTTGATCATGTCTTTGGCTGCCTTCAGGTTTCTAATAGTTACGTCCGCCGTCAATCTGCGTCCGAATGATTCTTACCGCACCAACAGTGGAAGCAATCAGCAAAAGTCACATTGCATCGATACCGTTCAAGGTCACCGCAATAAATCTACAAAGCAAAACGCCAAGTCGCAGGCAACTTGGCAGTTATCAGGAAATGCCACATTACCACTGGTTAGAAATCACTAATTTCGAAGACCTGATGTACTTGATGCTGCGACTAGCGATGCACGTAAACTGTCCCTCCACCTTTCAGAACGCTTGAGAGTTTGCCAGTCTCTTGGAGTATCTTGGCACTAGTGGAATGCATCTTCAAAAATCTGCCGTAACAGTATGCATGGCAAATCTCCCAGTCTCAAAAAAGGATCTGTCCTGCTCATCTTTCCGCATCCTTTTTCAACATGCGAGAGAAGGGCTGCTTTCAAATCGACGCGATTAAATTGTCCCTTAGCACTAGCTAGCCCGTGTCTCAGTGGTTTTTCCCGATAAATGCATCTGCTTTGAAAATGGCTTACCGTGGACCCAGGCACAGTGCGCTTGGGTGCTACTTCCAGCACGTGCATCTGCTTTTAGGATCGCTACGCATGGACCCAAGCCCAGTGCTTCACTGCGATTTCCAGACTATCTTACCTGTTGCAGAAAAATGTCCAGCACTTAGAAAGCTGCCCTGATAGCCGGCCATCGTTTATTTGATGCAGCAACCCATCTTTAGGGCTGGGTCATTCGGCACGCAAGTTGTCATGTCGGGGTTTGCCGCCCATTACCACTTCCTAGAGTTGCGGCCGCAAAACTCAGGCCGGCCATGGTTTGCAAATCACTTTCTAATCTTATTTAGTTCACCTCATCACGGTGAGCAGCGAAGTTGCCTCCTTAATTAGCTCGTGTCACAAGCCTAAGGCACCATCCACGCATGCGGTAGGCTCCGCAGCAGCGGAGTACCGGCTCACCTCCTTCAAGGTAGGAGGGCATCACGAGCTCAGCGCGTGGCGACCACGAGCTCAGCCCAGCAAAAACCTTTGGAGAAATTAATTTAGGCATTTCTTGCACATAGCTTTCAAAAAGCGCCCCCAAAAATATCGATTGACCAAACAATAAGAAAAGAGACTAAGGAAAACTTTACGATAATATCCCCCACAAATTTTCGAAATTTGCTCAGAAAGAAAGAAAACAAGAGAAAATAACTGTACGATACACTGCCTCTGTTTTTCTTCAATAGTTTCCTTTCGCTTCGCAAACGGGCTACGCAGAAACTGCCTGCAGTAGGCGTATACGCGCGAAGACCAAATACCAAAGACAATTGCATGTTTAGAACAAAAAGACGCATATAGCACATGTTCTTGGTGGAAGCGGAAATGCATGCGATCGTATGTTGAACGTTTCTTTGTCCTCGCACTACATTCGGCGAATCCATAAGCTCGCAGCCCACTAAGCACCGCCTTGGCCGTGATCCCCGAAACGTTTAGCACCAATTGGTGCCACTTAGAATTGAGCGTTCACAACACTTTCTCCTCTTACGGCGATCGAGAGCATCGCAACCAATGCCATGTTCTCTGCCTTGCTCTAGGATCCGCTGTTAGACTCAAAACTTATTGTGTCTGAAGCTTAGACGCTTGGCTAGGACCGTGCGATTCCCAGTTTCCCAATGGTGAGCTGTAGGCCAGCTCTTCATGCGGAAGCGTTCCTCCCGTGCGCCCACAAGCGTTTAATATTAATTTCATTGATCTGGAACCAACTGGACTTTGTAGTCTGTCGCCACGAGTCTGCTGTTGTACAGTGCCTTCAACAAGTACTCTCAATCGCTCTTTTCAGTGCGAAACAGAGTTGAGCATCGGCATGCAGCACAGAAGCCTCGTGATGACAAAAAGGTTACCTATAAATTCCCAAAACTTCTGCAGAGGCGGCTAAAGAGTAGCCGCACAGAGTACAGCAGCTTACTAAGCCATGCAAGTCCTGTAAGGCATTTTGTCTCTAGGAAGTGGTGTCCAACAGACAAAACGCCCCCATTTTGCCATCACCGTCATATATGATCATGCCAATACTTGATGAAAGTGACGTACTAACTAAAATCAAATTATTGGTAAAGACGACAGTCACATTCCATCCCGCTACCAACCCTGTAGCAATTTGCACTGGATCTGCTTAGAGGCCTGGTTGAGCTCGTCATTCTGCTGCCACGGCTATATTCTTGAGCACTGTGCTAAGCACGCCACTTCATCAGCTCAGTGACTGCTTCTGCCCTGCCTGATCTACGCTTTTTGGCCTTCTTCGAGGACAACGCACTTCCTAAAATTGATCCGCCGTTCATCATGGCCTTCAGCGGCGCCCACGGTTTGTGGTGCCAAAAGCCACTTTGAATTTTCAAAACTGCATGACTCTCTCACAGACCTAAATGAAACAGCTGCCTTTTACCAGGATCTGTTGTTTAGTCCCGTTTGTTATCAAATTCCCCACGCAGTGCCGTCGATTTTCTTTTCCTCCTCTCAGCTCCTAAGACTGCCGCAGGGCTCTTGCAGTTACGTCTGGCCAGAAGAGCATGTTGTACAACATAACTAAGACGAGGCACCAAACCTGATGAGCCGTTGCTGAGACAACAAAAAATGCGTTTTATCTTACAAGAAGCAGAGATTCATTACAACTCGTGCTGCGCTGTCGCTTGCGTAAGACGTGCACCCCAACATACGACAGAGTAAGCCGCAAAAAACGTAAACAGTTTTATTGAAGCCGTCGTTTATCAAGGCAGGTTTCTGCGTACACTGCATATGCTATCGTCCAAGAACAGTGACGCACAATCTACAGTAGACCAAATAAAGAGGGGCCATAACAAACGATGCTGCAGCCAACGACGACACGATGCTCCTCGACGTCACGGGGTTTCCCTGCTGGTTGAAAAAAGTATGACGCATAACGCTGTTACGAGCACGTCTCCTCGTCACCAAAGTGGTGGCGTAGGGTGGGCAGGCAACGACCAAAATAAACGTTATGCACCCGATCGCCGAGCTATCTTGTGAATAGAGCCCTGTTTGATGGTCGATCTATCCTGAACTTACACAGCCTTGAACATTTGTGATCGTTCCTTTCAGGCGCTTCTGCCTCTTGAATCATTCTCTGATGCACGTAAAGGGCATTGATCCAGGTATAAGAGCAGATATTGACATGTGCCGCACAGCGTTTCTTCAGTATCAATTTTCCGTCTGGAGAGTAGCTATGAAGAAAAGACTCCACTCAACTGTGACTTGTACCCAATGGATTGCTGCGTCATTTGTATGAACCCTTTCGTTTTATTTTAGTGCATAAGAAGAACTCTTGATGCACGGGAGTCGCTACATTTCACATTAACGATTACAGGCATGCAGGGAAGCGCAGGCAGGCACATCCCAGTGCGCTTTCTACACTCGAAGATGGAAATGCTTTCATTGCGTCACACAAATTCATTGTCCGTTGACGTGCGGATAAGCCACTGCTAATCAATAGCCAAGTTCCGGTCTTCTTGTCCCGAGTGGTAGTGTACTTTGCTGCTCAGGGTGTCAAAAATTTTGCAACCTTGCTTGTTTTAGCTCTAGTTTCTTCAACTCGTTGTCCACCCACTGAATACCCAGGAACTAGGGAGCACACTTATCCATCAAACGTTAGGTGCTGTTTACCCCGTCGCACAGGACCATCTGCCACTATAGCTATTCCGAATATAGGTTGGCATTGTGCATCAAGGTAGCCTGCACAGCAGTGGCATCTGGTACATCAAATGTTCCGCGCCGTAAAGGTTCAGAAAAAACTTCGGTACCCTCCCGCGCCACGAGCTTCAGTGTGCCGCGTGAGTTCTCCTAGCAAGATGCGTACTCGGCATGAGTCTTCAGGTGCTACTGCAAGTCTTCTTGGCACCGCTTTGCTTCTTCCGTACGACTTGAGCGTCGCGAAGCATTTGAATATCACAAATATCATTGCGGCTACAGCAGCCAACATGGATAGAGCCGCTATGGATGTGCTTGCGCGGCTAAAAATTTTCTTTACGTCAAGAATGCTCAAACTTTCACTCTGTATTTCAGATTCGGGTTCAAGAGCGTCTCCCCTCTCCGTAAACAGGCTTGCAAGCGCCAGATTGGCGGCAATGAATGGCGTCAACCCCATCATTTTCGTATAAAATGCAAATAAGTATATTTTAAAAACGGTTAAAACACAAATGTACTGATGTCTAGGGCGAAAGTCCCACCAAGGAGCACGGCGCTCTCCTGTCCCCTATGGTCGGGAGCCGTCTGCCACCATCCTTCCTCGTGAGTGTCTTGCTGCAAATAAACTAAACGTATACCTTTGTTCTCTCTATAAAATTGTGAAGAAGTGAATTGAGACTGAACACAAGTGATTAGCTAACTCTGGGCAGCTGGCTTATATATATTGTGGTAGACTCGGTCTGCAACAGCTTCGACAACAGCATACCTGTCCCAGTTGCAATGCATGTGTGAAACGACCTTTGAAGCGGAGCTTCCCAACAATTTTTCATCCTGTTAGAAATTTTATAGCGTAAGATTTATGCTTTACTGGGAGAGAAGAAGTTGGGGAGAGCATTGTCGATCATTTGTAGTCACTCACCACTATCCTACACACACTGAAGTCTGGATGCCCTATGGGTGTGTACATCTAGCTCTCAATGCTAATTATAATGGTAAAACTCCGAAAGAGTTCAAAAAGGAAATTGGCGAAGGTTCGAAAAAGTTGAATCAGGAAATGCCACAAAGAGAAGGCAATTTAAAAAGATGCTCCACTGTTGTTTGCTAGAAGACCAAAAGGGCATCTGCATGCTAAAGGGCTCCAAAAGTCAAAAGCTAAAACTAATAACAATACATCTATATAATGAATGGAAACATAGAAATGAAGCACTGCGCGAAGCAATGTGCAAGGCCACCACTACAGAGCAGAAGTGCGGGGGGAGTAACCCGCAGTGTTCAAACTATGCGTGCGTAATTCTTTTAACACCTAACTGAACTAATTAGGAATACATTCCATGTGGTTTTCAATATTTTGGGGAATTAATTCGAAAGAAGTCATTCTAAACGGGCATGTATGGGTTGCAGTCAAGGGGTACAGGGCGCATTCAAGTTTACGATGAAGTAGTTCAGTAGACCCATTCATCTGCCGCAGTCCGTTTGCTCGCAGTTCAAAAATGACGCATTAGAGATGCCAGTAAACAACGGGCCAACATGCACCCGGATGGAGGACGGCTTCCGGCTTCTCCTTGCCGAGGGATCTACCCGCTGTCCGTCCTGGGAACACAAACTCCGCGTTAAGCGTCCTGTCTACATAGGGACTTATCTTCAACTTCGGCGCCTTGCCCAAATGGCTCAAGTCACTAAGCAACCGCACCCTTCGTTCATAAGACACTCTTTAAGAACCGATGCGTGGCGCGCTGGTCCTGCTGATGTTTTGCTTCAGAAGCACTTCATTATTATGAAGTGCTTCTGAAGCAAAACGACTAAGTGAGCTTTATTATTATGAAGCTCACTTAGTTGTGAATAGGTAGCGTTGCGACCGCATAACAGTTGATGGCACCGCTAGCGCTAGCAACACTGTGCAAAAAACGATGGAATGGAGCTAGCACTAGCTGCATTTCATCCTTTTTGCACAGTGTTGCAGCCGCTGAATTCTGGCTGTTTCTTCCACGTCTTCTGCATACACTTCTCCTTTTAACAGCTCCAACTTACCTAGGCACAAAGTCATCGTTTCTCTTCTGCAGAAGCAGGACGATTTTGCTCCGAGGTAAATCCCTTAAACAACTGCATCCCCTCTCTGTGTTTTAGATGAATTTACTGAGCCATTAAAGAAACTTTCAGAGGCTAGCAGACTTGCACCGTGCCCAATGATGAGTAAGCCGGGGGAGCGTCTGCGTTTTTCCTACACAAAGCGTCAACGAGGCAGGGCAGCGTCAAATGTCCCTATCCACATCACTAGCACTTCCCTATCAGGATATGGGCAACTCCTTTTATGAAAGCTCTAGTGCCAATTTTCCAGTGAACTAAATGAATACGAATTTTCACTTGTGGGCCACAGACGACCTGCGCAACTGCATCTAGTCAGCCATTGTAATCAACAGTGGAAATGTCCACTCTTTCTTTGTCTCAAAGAGCCCGAGTAAATTCATTAAGGAGTGAACAGCAGTTGCACAATAAAAAAACTTATGCAGCCGAAGCTGCACTGGCGGCAAACAGCAGAGTAGGCTGTCCCGGCTGCAGGAACTTCAAGCGAAGACAATACTCCGAGCTCCTCAACTCAGAGGTACTACCCCTCTTGGTCATCTTATTGTTTTCTTTCCAATTCGCACTCACCGATTCAGCCTTTGACTTTGACTACGTTAAATTGCGTCATTTACATTTCCATCAATCCACAAATGTATTACTTAATGATTCAATTTCCATGTAGCGCGCAGTGATTTTTGGGAGAATAGGCATGCAATAGGAACAGCGCATGAGCTTTCAGTCCCGCGAAGCACTACAACCTGGCTGTTGAAATATGCTTTTTAATAATGTACCATTGGCTCTAGCTAGGAACATGTACCGGGCATATATATGGCAACAATGTACAAAACCATACGGCTTTACTATGGCTATGGCACCGACGTGCAAACCAAATAAGACTTCGTAGATTAATTAACATAAGGGGTAGTCATCAAAGAACAGCTGAACAAGCTTTTACTCGTTCCCATAAAAAAAACAACGGACACAGAGTAATCGTTCAGCGTACAAAGAACAGCTCAATGTTTCACTGAAAGACTACGAGCACCCTCTTGATAATATTATTTTGAGCCGAGCTGCAGCATCCAGTGACACGGTAGCATGCAGTGGGCACAGTATGAGCCTGCACACGCCTATGCCAAAGACGACGCACTCACTGCAGATGCAGTTCGCTGGCAGATAATTTTTTTCGTCAAAATGTGCTTGCGGCGCACACTTTCTGTGCAACCCGTTCTTCTCAAATATGGAAAGCGAATTTTGGCGAGCTTTTTTTCTCGACTCTGCTGACGACTGCGCCTGATAGGAATTGGCAATGACAAGTTCGCAACCCAAACCGCGGAACATTCGCCACTTGGCTCCTGAGGTAGATTTTGTGGCACAATTGAAAGTGCAAAAGCTGCTAAATGGGAATCAAAGGACTGCGCATGCTTGCCACGACGCAGATGACGCCTTTGAAAACCCCAACTAATGTATGTAAGACTGCCACCAGTGTTGTTGTCAGCTGCACCTTAGACTGTCTAAATACAGACCAATTTCGGAGTTCAATCTTTCTGATAACATTTGTGCATCCAAAAAGATTGGCGCCTAATCGTTTGGAAGTGCATGTAGAGTTCATAAGATTGCGAACGCACCCAGTAGAAACAGAAACTTACCCTGGAAAGGTGAGTTGCGTCCTGCATATATATCTTACGAAGATGTCCCGTCTTAAAGGTCTTCGTTGAACAAAACGCTTGCGCAACTGTCAAGCGCGGCTCAACCTCTCATTGAAGGTCAGATAGTTTTAACTGGTCTGTCAAAGTGGCATTGATCTGATGCTCGCTCTGTATGTGCAGCGCTTGCCTGTAACAAACGTCACATAACCGGACAGCGCCTAAAATCGGGGAGGGTTACAGCTCCGTGCATACTTCGAGAAACTAATTACTATTATCAAAAGTAAGCAAGCATGCATTTTGCACATTCGGCACAGGTGAAAAGAAGCTTCACACGGCCGCATACCCCACGTAAGAGAGATTTATTGTTGGTGTACGTTTATTCAGCAGGCTAAAAATCCAGGGCGCAAGAAAAGTAGTCCTTAGCACACCCACAAACTGTGCTCATTTGTATTAAGACTGTAGAATCAGCGCACAAGTTTCAGGCAGATGTCAGCCTTTCCGCAAAGGCAGAAAAATCGTGCGTCAGCCAGGCAAAAATCAAACTGGGGACCCAACATGTGAACATCCCAATGCCTCATTCAGCTGCAAGAGTTCTACTGCTAATAACAAGCTTCTCTCTTGTACTCACGATGTTGAGTGAAGCCAGCACTTTCGCATCGTTTGAGAGCTATAATAAAGCAAGGTTAAGTACCGTCAGCTTACTTGGAGAGCATAATTGCAGGAAAGCTGACCAGCACGGTGTTCTCAATAAAGATGTGAGGAAATAAGCAAAACAAGATAGGTAGCGAGGTGACCCGCTTCTTTCTCACCAAATAAGTGTGAGCAGCAGTCAAAAGTTTTGTAGAGTCTTTCATCCTGCATCAGCGCATATTGCTGACGCTTGCTAACGAAGGCTTCAAGCTGTAGCTAGAGCCAACATACTAGCTACACAAACAGGAAAAGAGCCACGAAAACAACAGAGCAATCTTCGTGTGGTTTGCAATCAATCATAAATATGTTGGGAATTTTGAAGCGTGAAAAGACTGTATTAGGTAAAGCTGCATAACCAGCAAATGAAGCACCGGCGATTTTAGAATTGTTTAAGCATGCTGCTCGGATAAGCCAATTCCTCTTCCAAATCCAGCTTAGTTCACACAGTAGAATGCAAGCACTCGGTTCATTCAGTGAAGAGCGGCATCACCTGAAATATAATGTAGTACGTTCCCACACGCAACGCATCACTTCGTCATGGAAAATAAACGCCAGTCAGCATCACAACTGACAGCGCGCATTACAGAAAAAGCCTGCGATTAATCGGAAACGGCAACGGCGCACCTCTGTCTCAGTCGTCGATACAGCTTCAGCTTCGGGGAAACTGACAAGTCCAGTGCATCAGTTCAGAATACGTGTCGAAACATATGAGTCTTGAAAGAAGCTGTCTTCTCCCCTCAAAATTGACAGAGCTCAGAAAGTAACTTACTGCCAGCCTTTCTACTTGCCTTCTACAAGACACCACATTGTACAACGCATGCACCTAATGTGTCGGCGTCTCTTCCTCACTTCAGTTTGTCGCTGCTCCACAGTACACCGCGCACCTAATAGTAAAGAAGCACGCACAAACTTTTATTTTTTCCTATTTCTGAATGACTATAAATTTTGTAGACTTGAGTCCTTTGAAAACTGTGTCTTTATATTCACGTGAATATCAAACTTCTCTGCAATTCTCTTTTCTGTGCAAATTTACACTTACTAAAACCATTGCGTGTATATGAGTTGG